TTGAGCTGAAGAGCTGAGGGACAGCGCCCAGGCCCAGAGTTCAAGTCCCATGAAAGACAAAAAAAATACACTGGGACATAATAAATTATACAGGTCTCTAGGCATTCACACATAGTGAGACCAAAGGAGGATATTCTTAGGAGAGGATCACAATAGCACAATACTTATCATAGAAAGTAATATTTATCAAAATGAACTCAAAAAAAGAAAAAAGATGATCTCTGTGGAAAAGACTTTCAAAATGCTGTTGAATACAAAATTATGGTTTCCCGTCTCTGTTTTTGAACAGAAGCTTCCAAGTTACTTGTCAAGTACAAGCATTTTCTGTGATTTGCTGTGCCTTGCCTCTAGTGGCTCTACAATAACAATTATAGAATGAACTATTTATTAATTCAACATTATCTGAGAAAAAGAAGCAAGCCAAGAAGTCTCTGCCTGATTAACAGGAATGCTGTGAAATCTATACATAAATACATATACTTTCTTTACTGACTGACCAGTTAGACACTCCCACAGCTTTTCAGTCTTATTTTTTTTAAAGCAGTGACAGGAACAAGATCTTTCTATTAGAGCTGAAAGGATAGGATGAGTTTTTCTGGGAAGGCACACTGACTACCTGAGAATGTCAGTATGACAGCCAGCCTGCCAGTAATGGTGGAGACAGAAAAAAACTAAGAAAATCAGACAAGTCAGACAGGAGAATTTAAGAAGTTCCTCTGTGTGGGCTTTTTATTGTAATGAGAGATCCCTGGAGGCTCTCTGAAAGCTGAGTTAGACAAAGCAATGGAGATCTTCTTAAGAAAACAATTTCCCATTGGCCGGAGTATACCAGATGTCTTAAAATGACAGATTCCACTAATTTTCATGATTGCCTCAGGGAAGGTTGAGGCTAAGTTGGCTCTGTTTTTGCAATATGTTTCTCAAACACAACTTCTTGGTCTGCTGCACAGGTAATTACTGTAACTACAAAGTTCATGTTGCCAATTATTTCAACCATGGCCTTATTTTTTTCTACTCTTGCTGATATCTAATTCATTTGGGCTTTGCAGTCTTTAACCATTAAGTATTAAATCCCTTATCTTGCAAATGAATTGTTTGGTTAGGTCAGTTTATATAGCTTTTTGAATCTTGAGGACGATATAACTACTAATTTTTATTGATAGTTACAAATTTTCAGTAACAACCAAGACAGTGAAATTTATTTTTCTTTTGTTAACAATTTGTTCCATGGATTCCTAATTTTTCCAAAACCTTCATCATGAAGGGGTGTTGGATCTTGTCGAATGCTTTTTCTGCATCTATTGAGATAATCATGTGGTTCTTATTCTTGCTCCTGTTGATGTGATGAATAATATTAATTGATTTGCGTATATTGAACCAGCTTTGCATCCCTGAAAT